TGAGAACAGGGAGTACAGAACAGGGAGTATGGGAACTCTTTGTACTTTCTGCTCAATTTTACTGTGAACCTAAAACTAAAAAATAGTCTTTTTTTTTTTTTTTTTTGAGACCGTGTCTTACTCTGTTGCACAGACTGGACAGCAGTGGTATAATCACTGCTCAGCGCAGCCTTGAACTACTGGGCTCAAGTGATCCTGCCACCTCAGCCTCATGAGTAGCTGGGACTACCAGCATGCACCACCACACCTGGCTAATTTTTAAATTTTTTGTACAGACATGGTCTCACTATGTTGTCCAGGCTGGTCTTAACTCCTGGCCTCAAACAATCCTCCTGCCTCGGCCTCCCAAAGTGCTGGGATTACAGGCGTGAGCCACCGTACCTGGCCATTAAAGTCTATTTTTTAAAAATCTAGATCATAGTTGCTCCCTTACTTAAACAATTCCAAGGCTATTCATTTTTCTAAAAATCTACATTCCTCCCCATAGCCTGCAAAGCACAGCAGAATTGGGTCCTTGTTCAACCTCAACCCCATCCCTCCCATTCTTCTCAGTCACAAGGCTCCAGCCTCAGCCCCTGAGCAGCCTGAGCCTTTTCCCATTGCAAGGCCTTGTTCTTATCCTTTGCATAGGCACTTCCTCATCTTCGAGCTTCAGCTTACACACAATTCCTTAGGGTTCTCTCTGGACCACTCGGTCTGGAGTGTGTCGCTCTCCCTGTTATTACCTTAATGGCTCTTATCCTGCTGGATGGTTCTTGTAATATCTAATTTTAGGTGTCAACTTGACTGGGTTATAAGACAACCAGACAGCTGGTAAAGCATTATTTTCTATGTGAGTGTTTCCAGAGGAGGCTGGCATGTGAGTTGGTGGACTGAACAGGGAAGATCTGCATTGATGCGGGCAGGGAATATCCAATCAACTAAGGGCCCAGTTAGAATAAAAAACAGAGGAAAGGTGGATTCACTCACTCTGCTGGCATCTGGGACATGCTTCTCCTATCTTTGGACATCAGAACTCCAGACTCTCCAGTGTTTGGACTCTAGTACACACACTGGTGACACTCCAGGCTCTTGGACCTTCAGCCTTGGACTGAGTTACACCATCAACTTCCCTGTCCCAAGGCTTTCGGGCTTGGACTGAGCCACACTATCAGCTTTCCTGGGTCTCCAGCTTGCAGACAGCCTATCGTGGGACTTCACAGCACCCCCAACTGCATGAACCAATGTCCCTAACAAATCCCTTCTCATATACCTATTATCTGTATCTATATCTGCATATGTCCTACTGGCTCTGTTTCTCTAGAGAACCCTGCTGTAGTTCCTCACTGGAATAGATATTCCATGATGATAAAGACCTTTTCCCCACTAAACCGTCAACAGTGTCTAACACAGAGCCAGGGCCACAAGAGTGTTTGCTGACTAAAACAGAAAGGGCATCTGTCCTGCTCATGGCTGTATCCCACATACTGGATGCCCAGCAATGGGGTCAGTGCACACACATGACCTGGAGACTCCATCACTTCAGTTAGTCAAGGGGTGTCAAAAGCAACTCCTGGAAATGATGAGTGACTGGTCCAGGAATCCTGATCCCAAAGCTGGACCACCTTCCCAGAGTTTGAACTCCCTGTGATGTTCTGAGAACATGTGACTTCATTGCAGAGAAAAAAAAAAAAACCATCAAAGCTTCCTTCAGTTCGTTAGGGAGGGACCCTTGTTCCCCACTCGTCACGTGCCTACTGAGGTGAGGGAATTCCCACTATACCCCAGCAGGAGTGAGCGGACCAGCTAGGCACCACAGGACTCTAAACCACACCATACAGGTACAAGGGTACGTGTGTTCTTCAGCCCATGTGGAGCATCTGAGAACCCTGAGGTGAGTGTCAAAGAACTGACATTGCATAGATCGTGTTCTCTTACCACACTTCATTTAATTCAGAAATCAAGGCTGGGCACAGTGGCTCATGCCTGTAATCCCAGTACTCTGGGAGGCCAAGGTGGGCAGCTCACCTGAGGTCAGCAGTTTGAGACCAGCCTGGCCAACATGGTGAAACCCCGTCTCTACTGAAAATACAAAAATTAGCCAGGTGTGGTGGCAGGTGCATGTAGTCCCAGCTACTCAGGAGACTGAAGCAGAAGCATCGCTTGAACCTGGAAGGGGGAGGCTGCAGTGAGCTGAGATCACACCACTGCACTCCAGCCTGAGCGAGACTCTGTCTCAAAAAAAAAAAAAAAAAATTAGAAATCAATAACAAAAACTATCTGGGAACCCCACACACATTTGGAAATGTTAAGACACACTTCCAAACAACTCAATGGTGAAAGAATTATAAAGAAAATATGTAGAGTTAAACGATGAGAAAAAAATGGCACATCTCAAAACTTGAAGGGTTCATTAGTGACTTCCTGAGCATCCACTATGCCCCAGGCATTGTACTAAGCACTGGGAACATCCCAGCAACAAAAAAAAGTTGTGCACTCTTAGGGTTACATCTAGTTGGGGGAGCTGAGCAGCAGCAAATCTGTGTGTGACGCAGGGGATACCATCAGCTGGTTTCCCCGACATCAAACATGGATTCGTGGAGGAAAAGGGCAGGTTGGGGACAGGCGCTGGGGTGAGAGGAGCCACAACGCTCACCAAGGCCTCTGGGAAGGGGGCAGGGAGGATGGAGAGAAGTCATGAGAAGAAATCTGAATCTTGAATTTGTCCATGTACATGGCATAAGCCAATCTTTTCATATGCATGAATGAACAACTTGACTTATTCAGTTAAATAAAAGAGTGAGGCTAATATGACTTATGCTCACTATGTCTTTATGGGAGAAAAATGAGCTCCTCATGAAAGCTGTTGCCTTAACATGAGAGCACATCAGCACCAGAAGACAGTGATGCCTCCTTTCTTGCATTGCTGGTTGTCTGGAGAGGGAAGGGAGCTGCAAAGGGAAGGGCGACAGTGCCAGCTGGTGCCAGGACAGAGGTGAGCTCAGGTGCCAGTGCGGGATGAGCGGCTTGCCCAGGCAGCGCCCCCTTCTGGAGCTCTGGGGCATGTTACCCATGTCCACTGTGTGGTGTTGAGACCCAAGCCTTAGTCTCTGCAGCAAGACAGATGCTGCTTCCAGGAACCACCTGCTGACCCAGCACTCCATGAACACACCACAGATGCTGAGTTCAACACCAGGGGCTGGTTTGGTTCTGGGGACAAACTGAAGTCTTTGATCTGCACAACCTACATTCTAATGGAAAAAGCAAACACACACCTAAGATAAATTTTAGGTAGTGGTGAGTTGGTGAGTTGTGTGCAGAAAATAACTCAAGGTGAAGAAACAGCTGTGACTGGGGACCTTACTGTAGTCTGGGCGACCAGAGGTCTCCTGAATGCAATGTATAAGCTGACAATCAGAAGCAAGCGGGAAAAATTTGTGGCACGAGTCTGGGGACAGAGGAGGAGCTGGCGCACAGAGCTGCAGGCAGCTCAGCAAGTGCTGGAGTGTGGAGAGAGAGGAGGTGCAGGGCCAGCAAGGCACAGCCAGAGCACAGGCCTGGGGATATGCTCTGCAGCTCGGATTTGATGGTAAGTGCAATAGAAGCTACTGGAAGTCCTAGGGCAGTAACGTGACTTTTCCAGTGCTTTTAAAGGATCACTCTGCCTGGGTGTGAGGGATGAGCAGCAGGGGCAAGAGTGGTTGGAGGGATCTAAGTGAGAAAGGTCTATGGTGGAGACGGGGAATGGGGAAAAGGAGGCACGCTCAGGACCTATTTTGTGGGTAGAGACTGTGACACTCGCTGTGGGGGAGGTGGAAGGAAAGTCAAGGATGACTCACAGGATTTTTCTCGGAATGGCCAACGCTAACTGGTCTTTTGAGAGCTTTTATGTCAGGCACAGTCCTAAGTGCTGTTTCACACAGACACATGGACACACATGCACGTGCACTGAATTCTCACAAGATTCTAGGAGGGAAAGTACTATTATTATCTTTCTTTTATAGATCAGGAAACTGAGGCACAAGTAATGTTTTCATGTTGTCCAAACCATGCCGGCCAGTGATGGCTCACCCCACTGCCCCTGTTCTTACTCACTACTCTGCACTAGCTCCCAAGGACCTGGAAGGAAGATGGGCCCTTCACTAAGGTGGAGAAGGCTTGAAGAAGAAGATTTGGAAAGGCACAGTTCCGAGTCCCTCCAGTGGAGCATCCTCTGCAGGAGTCCATTATTCACCCAGTAACTGCCCATTAAACCAGCAAAGGCCAAGTGCAGGTACAGTCAGCGAGCTCAGGCTCCATGAGGGCCTGTACTCTAAGACGCCCTCACAGGGCGAAGACCGGAGGTATGTGGTACTGGAGAGGGAACAGGACCAGAGGAGGCATCTTAGAAGGAAACCTTCCTTTGCTACAAAGTCAAATGCTGGACAGAGCACAGAAAGCACAAACTGGAGCCTCAAAAGCTGATTCTCACCACAATAACCAATATTCACAATGACATTAATTCACTTATTTACTGACCTCCACTCTGGGTCTTTTCAGTAAAAGTACTCACTGGCTTCTGAATATCGACGTATACTCTCCCACTCCAACACAACACAATCTCACTACTCCTTGTCTTCAAAAAATTGATTCCTCTCAAGAGAGGAGTAGGTAAAATTCTCTAAAATAAATCTGGGGAAAGGAGAAGACTGATGACCTGCTTCTAGTTCCTCTTGGGGACACGAAGCAAAGAGATTTTGACTGGATTGTCAAGAAGTTGGTTTTAAGAACAAAACTCCACCAAATTATGCTTTTCAGAAAGTCAAGCCAATTAACTGCTTCTGCAAAAGTGCACTGTCTGACTCTCTCTCCTTGGTCCGCAGTGAGAAAAGCAACCTTGGTGTGGGGAGCCCCTCTTCTGCAGAAACTGCTGCCAGCATGAGGGGACGGCCTGAGAGTCTCGGGTGGGTCTAAAGGTCAGCACACAGGTGGTGCAGACATGCTGTCATTCTGAAAAGAAAAGGATAACTCTGAAATCTTACCACTGCTTCTGATGTGGATGGGTATTTCTGCAGCCCCGTTCTGGGGAGACTGTTCCTTCGACTCAGCAGGTGCAGCTTTAACTTGCCAAAGAGGATCTTCAACAAAGCAATTTACACATGGTGAGGGAATCTCACATTTGAAAGAAACAGAACATTACAATAGCAGAGCCCATGCCGCCAGCCAGAGAATACACACCCAAACAGACGTTACAACATGCTTAAATTCTCACTTAGTACTTTTCTTTGATTTAAAGGCTTTGAAGTAATGAATCTCAGTGTGTTCATTACTTGTGAGAGACCATGAAAAACTTACTTTTCGGATAGTTGACATAAAATATTTATAAATTCAAAATAAATCTCCCTTTAACTCCTGAATAAGAAATACATTTTACGAAAGAGCCAAAATTCAGCTTTACCTCTCGAAGCTGGTTACTGCTCATTATAAGAAACCGTTCTCCTGCAACAAAATGAGCTTCTTGCTCCAATTCCTTGAGACGAGCCTGAAAATATGATACACACAATTAATCTCATTCATAGCTTTCACAATTTAAGATTATTTTTTGTTCATCAAACAATTCTCAACAGCGAGATGGGCATGGTGGCTTACGCCTGTAATACCAGCCCTTTGGGAGGCTGAGGCGGGAGGATCACTTGAGCCCAGGAGTTTGAGACCAGCCTGGGCAACACAGTGTGGCCCCATCACTAAAAAAAAATTAGCTGAGCACAGTGGTGCACACCTGTAGTCCTAGCTACTTGGGAGGCTGAGGTGGGAGGACTGTATGAACCCGAGAGTTCAAGGTTGCAGTTAGTTATAACTGCCACTGCACTCCAGCCTGTGTGACAGTGAGACCCGGTCTCAACAAACAAACACATACACACAAAATTCCCAAAGAAAGCTCTTAAGAGAGTAATAAATAACCTATAATTTATCAAAATAAGCATAAAAATACATATTTTGGCCAGGCGCAGTGGCTCACACCTGTGATCCCAGCACTTTGGGAGGCCGAGGCAGGTGGGTGTCTTGAGCCCAGGAGTTTGAGACCAGCCTGGGCAACATAGTGAAACCTCATCGCTACAAAAAAATAAAAATAAAAATAAAAATGAACGTATTTTGCCTCATGGTGAAATACCTAGGCTCATAGAAGCATCCTCCCCCAAAGGTAAGAAAACAAACTTAAAGAAGCAAAAATAATGGGAAGGGAAGAATCAATTCTCCAGCAATATTAAGACTAAAAAAGGGATCCAACATCATATAGAACAAGACAGAGGTAGAAAGTATAGGAAACAGGCTTGTATCAAGAATACATCAGGATATCCTATACATCAGTAAGCAAAAATATAAAAATGGGTAAAAGACTTGAGCAGATCCTTTACAAAAAGAAATTCCTAAAAGCTAATGATGCTTATGAAAAGCTAATCAACCCCACTAGTGTGAAATGTGACATACAAAATGACATCACTCTGGTCCAGAGCTCTAGAGTAGAGTCAGGGAGCCATTAACGCTGAAAAACAAAACCAAAAAGACAGGGACTTGCATTGAACCTCTGAACTGGGCCAAACTGCAATGACCACAACATCCTGGAAAACAGCTGGATTTTGCCAGTGCTGCAACTCCTGAAGAGTGACAACCAATGAGCTCAATGGATTCATGCACTGAGCCAGCCACCTCCACCAAGATCATTCTTTCACAACTGTGTATTTGCCCTTAGCTTCCTCTGAAAAATCTCGACTCCCCTTCCTCTCTTTGGAACACAATTTGGCCTTTAGCTGAATGTGTCCCCTAAATTGCAATTCCTAAGACCCCAATAAATGCCTTGTTTTACTGCTTTTCAGTCTGGTTTTTTGCCTTTTCTTGGTTGACATTAAATGGTGTCAGAAGTAGGACACAAAGCAACTCTCCTCTGCATTCTGGCACTGCCACAGATTTGAGCATGATACTTGCAGGAACCCCTTGTGCCCTATCACCTCCCTGAAGGCCTGGGACTCTGGTGGAGAATCCTCTGGTTTCCCTGAACACCCTACCTCAGTTGAGGTTCAGACCTTTACTGGGCGTCTGTCCTTTGCTGCTGGCTGTTCACAGAGGGACTTTTCCCTTTTTGGTGAGTACTCATGGTGACTTCTGCTTCTGAAAGTACAGGTGCTGAGTCACCCTCTTCTGGAATTTCTGCTGATTTTCTGTACAAAAATTACGGTTCTTTATCTTATAAATTTATTTATTGAACCAACATCACTGAAAGTGATTTGGAATTACAATGGCCAATCTGGGCATCTTTGATCTCCCAAAATTTGTTTTCCTCCACAGAAAATTAGAAGGGCTAAAAGGAAAGATTACACAGCCTGAGTGGAACAGCCACTTTACTTTGGTATCTTGAGGCATCTAAAAGAATCCAGGGAACTAAACTAATGTTCCTAAGAGATAACAATGCCGAATTAGCTCAAAGACTCTCTAAACTAGGAAAGAAAAAATAAAAACCCAGAAGCATCTTCTACCCCGACCCTTCCCATCCATTGTCATGCTCTGTACTCTCTTGCTTATATGGTAGAAACTTATTCTAAACCTGGAAAATTACCTCCCGGGTTTTCCATGAAGAGGCGGCTTACTGGATTGGGTAGCTACTGGAATAAGTATACCACTGGAAATTCTAATCATCAGTAGCCAAACAGTAGATCTTTAAACTAGAAAAACTCCCATAAAATATTTTTGATATCTCTCATTCTAAACAGTTGTTTTATTTGTACTTATGGGAGGATCAATTTTTTTTAAGAAAGACACATAAAAGGCTGAGTGTCGTGGGTCACACCTGTAATCCCAGGACTTTAGGAGGCCGAGTCGGGAAGATCACTTGAGCCCAGGTGTTCAAGACCAGGATGGGCAACATACTCATCTTAAAAAAAAAAAAAAAAAAAGCCAGGCATGGTGGCATGTACCTGTAATCCCAGCTACTCAGGAGGTTGAGGCAAGAGGATGGCTTGAGCCCAGGAGTCTGAGGCTGCAGTGAGCTATGATTGCAGCAACTGCACGCCAGCCTGGTTGACAGAGCAAGGCCCTGTCTCTAAAAACAAAAATAAGGCCAGGTGCGGTGGCTCGCACCTATAAACCCAGCACTTTGGGAGGCCAAGGCGGGCAAATCACTTGAGGTTAGGAGTTCAAGACCAGCCTGGCCAACATGGTGAAACCCTATCTCTACTAAAAAGACAAAATTAACGGGCATGGAGGTGGGCAACTGTAATACCAGCTATTTGGAAGGCTGAGGCAGGAGAATTGCTTTCAATTGGGAGGCAGAGGTTGCAGTGAGCCAGGATCATGCCACTGCACTCTAGCCTGGGCGGACAGAGTGAGACTCTGTCTCAAAAATTAAAAAAAAAAAAAAAAAAAAAAAAAAAAGGCCATGCAGGGTGGCTCACACCTGTTATCCCAACACTTTGGGAGGCTAAGGAGGGTGGATCACTTAAGGTCAGCAGTTCGAGACCGGCCCAACCAACATGGTGAAACCCTGATTCTACTAAAAATACAAAATTAGCCGAGTATGGTGGCACATGCCTGTAATCCCAGCTACTTGGGAGGCTGAGGCAGGAGAATTGCTTGAACCTGGGAGGTGGAAGTTGCAGTGAGCCAAGATTGCGCCACTGTACTTCAGCTTGGGAGATAAGAGTGACACTCTGTCTCAAAAAATAAATAAATACATAAAATAAAATAAACAAATTTAAAAAGACACATAATAGTGTCATGGCTAGCCTCAGAAATTCTCTTGATGAAATTAAACAACAAAAATCTGACCTGAACAACATTAACATCCTTTGTACATTCAAACTGCCTGCTTTGGATTCCCTGCGGAACTTACAAAAAAAAAGAAGACACTCTACTTTGGTCTCATGGAGATGTAAGTCCTTTAATTCAGGAGAAGAACCACTAATTTAAAACCTGGTTTAATATGTGTGTGACTCTTGACTTTGGGGGGGTTCTTCTATTTTTCTCATGGATCCCCAAGAGTGATGAGCAGGTTCAAGTCTAACATATAGGCACCTCAACTGACTGTCCTCTGGACTCCAAAACTTTTTCTTTTTTTTTTTTTGAGATGGAGTTTTGCTCTTGTTGCCCAGGCTGGAGTGCAATGGCACGATCTCAGCTCACTGCAACCTCTGCCTCCTGGGTTCAAGCGATTCTCCTGCCTCAGCCTCCTGAGTAGCTAGGATTACAGGCATGCGCCACCATGCCCGGCTAATTTTGTATTTTTAGTAGAGATGGGGTTTCACCATGTTGGTCAGGCTGGTCTCAAACTCCTGACTTCAGATAATCCACCCACCTCGGCCTCCCAAAGTGCTGGGATTACAGGCAGGAGCCACCGCACCTGGCCTCCAAGAAAACCTTTTCAAAGAATGTTCCCAACATTAACCTTTGTTTTTCTTCCATTTGTGAGGCTGTCCGCAATGCCGTCTTCTGAAATAAGACACAACTATTTAATTGAACTGACCAGTTCCCAGAAATGGGAGAGTGGTTTAATAGGACCTTTCGCCCCTCAGGTAAATCAATTTTTCTCTACACATCCATCAACGTAGCTGTTACCGTGTGAAGCCTCCATGGGAGCTTCAGAAAAGGGAATGTTGAGGTGCAGAAGATGATCCTCCAAATATGGTGATTTGGCATGCTGAATGCTTTTGAGAACTGAAAGGCTCCAGGAATATGTCTTAGAATCTAGATCCTTCTAATCTTGTTGTTCTTCCCACTCCAAGAGCAGGGAGGAACTCTGTCTCTGGAATTTTCTTATCTGGCTAAGAAAGCTTCTTACCAAAAGAAATACAATTGTCTTCTACATGGTTCCTGAAATCTCATTATCTATTTCAGAAAAGAAGACTGAGGAATGACATTTAGACACGTTAATAAAATGTGCAGCTCTCCTGATATACAGCTAATCACCATATAATAATGCAGGCCTCCTTATTAAAACGGCTCTCTTGTTACTCAAAGTTCACTCATCTCTGAAGCCATATTGCACACTGACTTTCAACAACCCCCCTCTGTGAGATAAGACACTCTAAACAGGCAGTTCTAGTTCTGGGGAAAAGAGATAACAAATCTGTGGCTGACCAACCAATAACTGATCAGTGATGATTCCACATTTCAGATTTTGAGCAAAAGTGGGGAATGTGACATGCAACATGCAAAATGGTATCATTCTGGTCCAAGGCTCTAAAATGAAGTCAGGAGGCCATTCTAAGGACTACCTATATGACCTGCAACCCTGCAAAACAAAACAAAACAAAACAAAAAAACAAGGACTTGCCTTGAACCTCTGAACTGGGCCAAACTGCAATGACCACAACATCCTGGAAAACAGCTGGACTTTGCCAGTGCTGCAACTCCTGAAGAGTGACAACCAATGAGCTCAACGGACTCATGCACTGAGCCAGCCACCTCCACCAATGATCATTCTTTCACAACAACTGTGTATTCACCCTTAGCTTCCTCTGAAAAATCTCGACTTCCCTTCCTCTCTTGAGAACGCATATTGGCCTTTAGCTGAACCTGTGTCTCCTGAATTGCAATTTCTAAGACCCCAATAATACCTTGTCTAACTGCTTTGCAGTCTGGTCTTTCACCTCTTCTTAGTTGACAGTAGTAATCAGGAAAATAGAAACAAAACTCATAATGAGATATCATTATAGCCTCACCAAAATGGCCATAATGTAAATGTAGCCAGGGGAAGTGAGGATGTGCAAGAACGGGATCCCGTATGCATTCTCATGGGTGAGACTCTGGGAAGCCATTGGGCATTACTGAATAAAACTAAGCAACAGATTCCCTGTGTCCCAGCACACTAGTCACCTCATAGCCCCCAGAAAGCTGTGCCCACGGGCACAGGGAATGCCCTCAGAGGTACAGCGTGGTTTGTAATGACAGCCACTTGGAAACAACCACACGCCTATTGGCAGTGGGACAGAGACACCAAGCACAGCACAGCCCACAACAGAAAATTCCACAGCACTGCGTGACACACAGAAATACAGGTGGAGCTGAGATGTAGAAGGCTGGGTGAAAGGCTACATGTAAATCACTGTTTACTTACAGTTCAAAAGCAAAGCTAACCAACATTGTTTAGGCTTTGAAGTGGGAAAGCTAGAAAGAAGAGCAACAATGAAAAGGCTACAAAAGTCAGGGCTATAGTTACTTTTGGCAGCAGGAAAGGGGTTCCCATAGGGAAAGCACACAGGGCTCTGGAAATTCTATGCTTTGAGCCAGGTGATGGTTATATTGGGGTTTCCTTAAACATTTTATTTTAAAGATGCTCCTGGCATGTGGTTTATTTAGACTTTTTAAAAAATTTGTGCAGATGTATGTGGTATGTGAGAAAATGCGTTACGTGTATATAATATGTGGTGGTGAAGTCAGGGTATTCAAAGCGCCCAGCATTCGACTTCAATACCTTTGTGTTAAGTACAGTTATCCTATGCTGCTATCAAACACTGCATTTATTTCTTTTATTTTACTGTTATGTTTGTACCCTTTAGCCCGCTTCTCTTCATCTTTGCCCTCCCCGCTGCTCACCCTTCCCAGCCTCTGTGTCTATTTTCCCACTCTCCATCTACATGTGTTTTCTTAAGAAAACTGAAGTAGAGCATTTTTATGTATTTTTTCATGCATCTTTACACATCTCTGTATTTTTGTTTTTCAAGAAACCCAAGAATTCCTTCACCAAACTACAGGGGACAATGTCCCTGTAAGAAAACTTAACTTTTGAGAAGGATCCTGAGGAGCCATTAAAGAACTCCCCGGACACACATGCACTATGCTGTTTAGGTCTTTTCAATGCTTGGTTCTCCCCTGCAGGAGTCAGAAAGAGGGAGAAGAACTGTCAACATCAAACCAGGAAGAGAAGACAAGGAGAATCTACTCTAGACCTGCCACTGGGAACAACTATCTCATGCAGGAAAGAGATGGCCAGTACACACCGTCTGGAATAATAACTTACCCCAAGAAGTGCTGATATCTTCTCCATCTCCTCTTTGTTCACCTGAATGGCGTGGCTTTCCATCACTGTGATTCAAAACCAGATCATATTTGCATTAATGTATCCTTTTTACTAAACGCTAAAATGCTTCACTCCCTGATGAGGACAATAATGACTGCAACTGCCATTTACTCAGCACCTGCTGCATGCCAACCTCTGCACAGGATCTGTCAGGATCCCTGTGTCATACAGGCAAATGGGTGCATTGACAGAGCTGGCCTTTGAGGTGTGAGTGGGCGAGGGGACCGCAATGGCCAGCCTGGCCCTCCCCACACTGTGAATGCCCCCTGGCTGATGTGGTGCCCATCAGGACCTGCGTCAAAGGCAAAGGCAGAAGAGAGCCCTGCATCGGTTCTTGCAGGAAGGTTCTCAAGGTTATAAGGACAGCAAACCAGAATGAGAGACAACCACTAACACATAAAATATCTAGAGAAACCTACTCCTCCTGGGCCAGGCAGCACAGCAGGGATCCCATATGACCAAAATGTCAGAACCTCTAGTCTTTCCACACCAATGGGGAATGCAGTCCAACCCCTCACTACATACAGAAAGGGAAAGTAATAGGCTTGCTACCTCTCCGGTGCCCATGGGATACACTATCTACTCCTAAATAAGGTACAGAGAAATATTCATCCCAAACAGTGTGAAGAACCCTCTAGAAAAATGGCTGTACTTCATCTTTATGGTGACTTACCTGCCAAAATTGGTATCAAAGGAACCTCCAAAGTACAAAATAGTTGCCATAAACCATACTCCTGTTTAACAGGAAGAAATAATATCAATGTCAATTTAAATATTATTGTATCTACATTTTATTGAAAAGCCTATTTTTTTTTTGAGACAGCGTCTTGCTCTGTCGCCCAGGCTGGAGTGCAGTGGCGCGATCTCGGCTCACTGCAACCTCCACCTCCCGGGTTCAAGCGATTCTCCTGTCTCAGCCTCCTGAGTAGCTGGGACTACAGGCACCCCCCACCACGCCAGGCTAATTTTTAAACATTTTTGGTAGAGACAGAGTTTCATCATGTAGGCCAGGCTGGTTGTGAACTCCTGACCTCAAGTGATCTGCCCATCTCAGCCTCCCAAAGTTCTGGGATTACAGGCAAGAGCCACTGCGCCTGACCAAAAAGCCTCCTTAATTTTGTTGAGCTAGAATAAAGGAGACCCCTATCATGAGCATGGCTGGTCTCCTACCCAACTTCTACCCCTCTTGCTTGCTCTTCCCAATAAACTTATTTCCCTTAAGTAGGCTATTTATTACCAAGATCTGGTAGAGATATTTAGAAATATAGATAGGTTCAAGTCAAACATTGGAAGTGGCAAAAAAGAAATAAAAAGAAATATCTGATAGGCCAAGCCCCATTCTCAATTTTCTTTACTCTTTTTCATTTTTAAGATTGATTTAAGCATTTGTAGACTTTTAGACTACCATTTTAATTTCAGAATAGGCTTACTGAATTCCCAAAATTTACCAATAATTCTCATTGATTTTTCACTGCCACTATAGATTAATTTGGGGAACATTAGAATCTTTATTCTAGGCCACCTCCCCTGAGAGCACGGAATCTCTATTTATCTGGGCCTTCCGGTGCTCTTCATGAGTCTCATTTTTTTAATTTTTCCTGCTGCCATGAGAGAGTCCCAGGCTCCATCCTCCAACTCTTGCCCTCATGTTCCCTCCTGCTCCTCCAGACCCATTCTCTGCCCTGCCCTTGCCCACAAGGCGGGGCAGGCCCCTCCAGGTCACATCACCCGGGCCACTCCTCTGCCTTCAGATTGGGCACTGAGGACAGAAGGGAGGGAAACGGGCTGAGCTACTGCCTGTCCCTGGAGGCTTCTCCTTCTGGCTGGTTCCCTTTGCCCTCCCTGGCCTCTGGACACAGTCCCTCCACTCAACACTTCTTGGTTGTTCATTGCAGTGGCTGTCTGCTTCCCAGGAAGACTCTGATTGAGTGAAACTACGTCCATCCCACTATTAATCAAAATCAATGCTCAGCTTTTACGTTAACTATGGCACTGGAAACATCCCACTGAAAGAGGAGGCTCTAAAAAATATTACAACTGTTTTCAACCTAGAGAAAGCATTTTTAAAACTTCAGGTCTTATCATTGCAGACTACCCTTTTCTGAGTAATGCACAGGTTAATTTGTTCTTAGAACTCAAGGTTTCGTTTTCTTCACATTCAAACACAGTGCAGGGTTGCTCCCTGGGAGTGCGGGTGCAAATGAAAAGACATCTCTTGTGAGTCTCCGTCAGCCAGAAATTACAATAAAATGTCTTGCCTTCAGTTTACAGCAAAGGTCCATTGTAAGTCTGTAGAGTATCTTCAGGTTGTCACGTACATTCTGATTCTTTAAAAGAGTAAAAGTATTTTTAAAAATCAGATAAACTTGGTGGCAGTACTCATTACGGTCTGGAACTGACATGACTCGATGGCAGATGTCATGTATGTGGTAGTATCAACAAACACCTCAACTGGACAAGTTCCTGTCTGTAGAAAGTGCTTTTACTGTGCAAGTGCAAGCTATCCATAGTTGGACACTTCCTCCCAACCTAGGGTATTTCCTTATTTTACAGATTAAGAAACAGAAACACAAAGAAGCCTAATGTCTCAGGTGCAATGATTAAATGGTAGTAGGGAGAGGAGAATGCAGACCTGGCCTCTCTGGAGTCCACAGCTCCATTCTCTCAGCCTTACCACCTTGTACCTGCGCACAGCTGCTGCCACGCTCCTCACTTACCCCTCCATTCTCAGCCCAGGAGATGCACACAGAGGCCCTGGGAGATGACAAACAAGGGTCTGTGTTTGGCTGACAAAGAGGGAGATGGGATGAGATGTGCCCCTCAATGCAGAGTCTAATTATCCTTCCCCTAACATGGAGCGCCAGGACCTCTTCTTCAACACCCCATTCTGTCAAACAAATCCCCCAACTCCAGCCCACTCAGACTCAGTTTTCTGCTAAAGGCCTGAGATTAGAGTGAACATCCCATGGGACGAGTGGCGAGCCACACACCACCTGGCACTGTTTTCTAGTCATCTCGGTTGTGGCTCTCCTGTGAATGTCGGGAGAACATCCTATGGAAGAGTCCCTCCACGTCAAGTTCTTAACTGCCACTTGGGAGAATCTACCTGGCTGCCTGCAGGAGCCTTCCGCACCCCAAAGCTGACCATGTGATTCCCAGTCTGATTAGCCCCAGGACAGGCCCGGCTCCCTGGTATGGCGCAGCTGCATGAGGAGCCCCTACATTTTCTCTGGCTCCCCACAGCCATGCCTCCTTCTCCCCAGGTCGGCCTTGCTGTCCTCCACAAAGGCACCATGTTCTCTGAGAGTCTTACTATATCCCTGCTGCTCCCTCTACCTGGAACTCTCTTCCATTTATCTGAACAATTCATGCCACCTCTTTGGAGAGAAGGGTGTAATCTGTGATCATGTAGATTAATGGCTGGACCTCCATCTCCATCCTCATCCATGCACCGCATGGCTCAACTACAGACACATATCTGGCTGATGAGACATAAATAGAACTGCATCTGAGGCTGTCTCTTTTCTGCCTGGAGTGTGGAAGAGTTAAACCCTGGGCCTCAATTTGACCCTAGGCAAGGTACATGTACGTTAACCTTTCTACACCTCAGTTTTCTCATCTGTAAACTGGGACTGATAATTCTGAGATGGACTACTCCTCTTTCTAATATCTCAGCTTCTGTTTGAGAAGTCTTCCTGCCTGACAGCATGGATTCTGAGTAGGAATACTAATCAAGATGCCTGGCCTCCTTGGTGGGGTGTAGACACATGGTACAAGGAGGGAAAGAAAACACTCTCCAAGTGCTGAAACTTTGACTTTTGGACAAGAGAAAAGGTCATGGTTCAGTGCTGCCACCATGCCTACCGGTTCCAGCTCCCTGGGACCCAGGGCCACCTGACTCCTGTTCTTCCCAAGGCCTGGTACTGCTTTTCCTCTGACTCTGTTGGCTACCCTATATCCTTCTGATAAATCTCTTTTTATATTAAGGGAAAGTGCATTTCTGCAACTTATAACACCAAACCCTTATTGGTACAAATCTTCACACCATAGATGATCGGTGAGGATGAAGTACATGAAGCAAATATCCCCAGCTCAGTGCCCGGTGCCTGGCACGGGCTCATATCACCTCTTACCCCCAGCTCAGTGCCCAGCGCATGGCACACGCTCACATCACCTCTTGCTTTGCTCTGATTGCTGGAGCTAGCTCAGTAGCCTGTGTGTTCTTCTAGCAGTGATTTTACCATGTAACTGTTCACTGACAGCTAACTAGAAAGCCTGAACAGAGTGGCCCCAACTGTGACCACACTGACACCACTAGACACCTCTCCTCTGGGGCCTGCTGAGAAGTCTCTCTCTGGGTTCTAGGCACAGTTCTAGAAGCTGTGAGTGCCTTTGTTTCTCCAGATGGTGCTTCCTGATAACAAGGGGGAATCTCTATCAGGGGAGGGCCTGGAGAGACCCAAGACAGTTCCTTTTTTTTTTTTTGAGACAGAGTCTCACTCTGTCACTCAGGCTGGATTTCAGGGGCACGATCTCAACTTACTGCAACCTCTGCCTCCCGGGTTCAAGCAATTCTCCTGCCTCAGCCTCCCGAGTAGCTGGAACTACAGACACCCGCCACCATGCTTGGCTAATTTTTATATTTTCAGTAGAGACAGGGTTTCAGCAGGTTAGCTAGGTTGGTCTTGAACTCCTGTCCTCAAGTGATCTGCCCACCTTGGCCTCCCAAAGTGCTGTGATTATAGGCATGAGCCGCTGTGCCCAGCCTGAGACCCAGGGCAGTTCTGACCATTCTCTCCACATAGACTGAAGAGTGGCCATCCCAGGACCTCTGGCACTGTGGCCACATCACCAGCACTAAGGATTTATCAACGAGTGGCTTTCTGTTTATGGAGCAGGGGACACTGACACCAGAGAGTCATCTGGAAGAGTCACACTATGGACAGATTTCCTAGGAACAGGTGCCATGGAAGAACAGACATCACCCATCCTTATTCAACATTCTCCACCAGAAACGCCAAGGTCAGGACTATTTGTGCTGAATAAGTGAAAATGAATGTTGACAACATTCTTTTTACTATTAGGCTATCAAAAAAATAGAAAAAGCTTCCGGAAAGAAAAGGATGTATTAAAGTTGATAAAACCTTATCTTAAACAACTCACCACAATATTTCTTGAGGAATTTTCATATGTGCTGTTCACTTTAACCGTAATGGATTTTTCACAGTATTTTTCTACTAAATCTTCAAAAGAGGGTACGGCATCACTAGGATCTATAAGCCATGCAGCAATTCTGGGATCTAACCCTACAAAATCAGCAACTGAAGAGAAAAAGGTCATTCAGTCACTCCAGGAAAAACCAGTAATTGTTTTTCCTGCTTTGACAAGGCTCTTAAGTTCAAATGAGTAATAGTAGTATTATCATCCTCTCAAATTATAGAGCTAAGGACCAAAGTGACTCTCCATCATTCTCCAGAATTTAGAACCTTTGGTAAGGCAGCCTCGATGAACCCAAGTCCCACATGGCCCATCTCTGTGGGTGTCACATTAAAGAGGCAGATTTCAAGTAGCCATAAAAGAGGGACTCCAAGCTCACTTGCAATTTGGATCTCTCAAAAACATGTTAAAAGCTGTCGAAGTCAGTGTGGTGGGCCATGCTTTCTGCCTCCCCTCTTCCTTGCTCCTCTTTCCCTCAGGCATCCTCTCTGCCAAGTTCTGCCCTCCTCCAGCCTCTCACTGGGCTGTCTTGCACCATGGAGTCTGGAATCCAAGCCTCTTGAGCAAAAGGAAGAAGGGTGGGAGTTGCCTGAGCACACACGACACCCTCGTCACTGAATGTTGAACAGGTAGTGTGTGCAAGGCAAAGACAGTTTGGCACTCTCCCTGAAGTGTGGAAAATCCACAAGACAACTAATGTGCAGCGCCTTGGTACTGTATAAGGAACACCAGGTCTAGATTCTGAATCACCCTCTGAGCCTGGGAGGCCACCTCGCCCCTTCAGTGTTAGTTTCTTCATCCAAAAACTGGGGGGAAAGATTACTGCAATTATCTGAGATACACATGAGAAAACACTTTCTAAAAAGTAAACACGATATTTGCTAAACAAACAAGTGTTTATACCAGAACACTTTAGACATGAAGAGAGAGTCATAAAAGGACAGAGGGCGGGTATAAATTAATAGACAAACTAAATCCTAAAGTGACTGCTTTTTAAGTTACTTTAAAATTTTGCATTGTGCCATACAAAAATAAGGAGTTTGCCTTCAAATAAAACTATAGTCTTAGATCATATCACATTAAATATTATATGTTCCAGCATCTTTTTTTTTTTTTTTTTTTTTTTTTTTGAGGCAGAGTCTCGCTCTGTCGCCCAGGCTGGAGTGCAGTGGCGCGATCTCGGCTCACTGCAAGCTCCGCCTCCCGGGTTCCCGCCATTCTCCTGCCTCAGCCTCCCGAGTAGCTGGGACTACAGGCGCCGCCACCACGCCCGGCTAATTTTTTTTTTTTTTTGTATTTTTAGTGGAGACGGAGTTTCATTGTGTTAGCCAGGATGGTCTCGATCTCCTGACCTCGTGATCCGCCCGTCTCGGCCTCCCAAAGTGCTGGGATTACAGGCTTGAGCCACCGTGCCCGGCCTGTTCCAGCATCTTAAATTATACCCGTCTAAGAGATTTATATTTACCAAAGCAGCCAGTATTATGACTTTCTCACTTGATAGCTAGGAAGTCTCTTACAGTGGCACATTTAGAGCTCTGGATTAGAGAAGTCAGTGGTCCTCTGGCTGCCTGCCACCTCTGTCAGCAGGGCATGATTTTCTTTTTTTTTTGAGACAGAGTCTTGCTCTGTCACCCAGGCTGGAGTGCAGTGGCCGGATCTCAGCTCACTGCAAGCTCCGCCTCCCGGGTTTACGCCATTCTCCTGCCTCAGCCTCCAGAGTAGCTGGGACTACAGGCGCCCGCCACCTCGCCCAGCTAGTTTTTTGTATTTTTAGTAGAGACGGGGTTTTGCCGTGTTAGCCAGGATGGTCTTGATCTCCTGACCACGTGATCCGCCCGTCTCGGCCTCCCAAAGTGCTGGGATTACAGGCTTGAGCCACCGCACCTGGCCCAGGACATGATTTTCTACAACAATGTCTGGTGATGCAGACTGACCCAATAGGACTGTTTCATTCCACTTCCCTTTTCAATGCTCTAATGTTTCAAAAGTAACGGTTATCAACATATATTTTTTAAAATCCTTGGAGAAGCTCTGACAGTATAAGAATGCTCTGGGAAATGGTCCCTATAATCTCTTGCAACTGACAAACTGAAGCTTGCCAGGACAAATCCCACACTAGGGAGAAAATGCCAGTAGCTGAAAAAGAAATGCTAACAAAATGAGATTTAAAACAAGTTCAGAAAATTAAGAAAGAGTAAAAGTTATGAATAAGTAAATAAATCCGAATTATATACTTAGAAATTAGGTGACTGAGAAAAAGAAAAATTATACAAAAAAATGACAGAATCCAGGAGAGAAAAATTTTTTAAAAAGACAATTCAGAAATAAAAACTAAACTGGCAAGACACAAACGCAAATAAACATAATAGCTAACTACTTAAAGTAAAAAAAGATTTAAAAAAGGGAATTTTTTTGTTTGTTTTGTTTTATTTTTTTGAGAAGGAGTCTTGCTCTGTTGCCCAAGCTGGAGAGCAACGGCACAATCTCGGCTCACTGCAACCTCCGCCTCAGAGGTTCAAGTGATTCTCCTGCCTCAGCCTCCCGAGTAGCTGGGATTATAGGCCCCCACCACCACGCCCAGCTAATTTTTGTTTTTTTTAGTAGAGATGGGGTTTCACCATGTTGACCAGGCTTGTCTTGAACTCCTGACCTCAGTTGATCTGCCCACCTCAGCCTCCCAAAGTGCTGGGATTACAGGTGTAAGACACTGTGCCCAGCCAAAAAAGAGAATTTTTTTTAATAAAAAAGAATAAGTCCACCAGAACTTAAAAATAAAATAAAATAAAATTTTAAAAAATCAAAAAGAAATGAAGAGACTGAAAATGGATTCCGGACAAAAAAACGATAAATATGAAAAAAAAAAAATATGAAAGACAGACAAAAAGATTCAACATATGAAATAGGAAATCAAAGGGAAAAAAACAAACGAACACAGCATTAAACACTATAATTCAAGATGACTTTAGGCAGGGTGCGGTGGCTCATGCTTGTAATCCCAGCACTTTGGGAGGCCAAGGCAGGCGGATCACGAGATCAGAAGAGGCAGATCACAAGGTCAGGAGATCGAGACCATCCTGGCTAAAATGGTGAAACCCCGTCTCTACTAAAAATACAAAAAATTAGCTGGGCGTAGTAGCGTGCGCCTGTAGTCCCAGCTACTCAGGAGGCTGAGGCAGGAGAATGGTGTGAACCTGGGAGGCAGAGCTTGCAGTGAGCTGAGATCGCACCACAGCACTCCAGCCTGGGTAACAGAGCGAGATTCCATCTCAAAAAAATAATAATAATAACTTTAAACTACATAAAGACGTATACATAATCAATACAGTATAGTATTGACACAGAATAGACCTACAGATCAGTGGAGCAGAATTGAGAGTCTAGAAATAAACCCATACATCAGTGGTTGATTGATTTTCAACAAAAGTACTAAGAATGGTGTTAGACACCAACAGCGGGTTGAATTGTGGTCCTCAAAAGATAACTCCACCCAGAATCTCAGAATGAGAACTTATTTGAAATAAGGGCCTTTGCAGATATAATTATGGTAGGAATCTTGAGATGAGATCATCTTAAGTTAGGGTGAGCCCTAAATGTAATGATGGGTGTCCTTATGAGAGACAGAAAAGAAGGTGACATATAGAGACACACAGAGGGAAAAGGCCACATGAGGATGGAAGCAGAGACTGGAGGGATGTATCTACAAGTCAAGGAGTGAAAAGGACTTCCAGCCACCACTAGAAGCTAGGGAAGAGTCACAGAATGGATTTTCCCTCAGAGACTCCAGAAGGAACTGTCAACACCTTAATTTGGACTTCCAGCCTCCAGAACTGTAAGAAAATAAATTTGTTGTTTTAAGCACTCAGTTTTAAGTTACAGCAGACCTAGGACACTAATATAGACCCCTACCTCACACCATATGCAAAAATTAACAAAAAATGGATCATAAGCCTAACCTCGGAGAGAAAATGATTAAACTCGTATAATAAAAATATTAGTAAATCTTTCTGACCTTGGATTAAACAATAATTTCTTAGGTTTGACACCAAAAACACAAATGACAAAAGAAAACACAAATAAATCAGATTTCCTTAAAAAAAAAAAAAAAAGAGTGCTTCAAAGGACATCAAGAAATTAAAAAGACAAGTCACAGATTGGGAGAAAGTATTTGCAAATTGTATATCTGACAATAAACTCATATTAGAATATAAAAATAATTATTTCAAATAAACAATAAAAAGACAACACAATTTTAAAATGGGCAAAATATTTGAACAGACATTTCTCCAAAAAAAGATATAAAAGTGGCCAATAAGCACATGAGAAGATGTCCAATATCATTAGCCATCAGTATAATACAAACCAAAACCACAAGGTGTAACACTTCACATCCACTTGGATGACTAAAATAAAGATAGACAAAAACATGTATTGGGCAAGGATGTGGGGAAATTACAATGCTATATACAGTGCTGGTTAAAATGGTGCAGACCTGTTGGAAACAAGTTTGGCAGTTCCTCAGAATGTTAAATACAGAGTACCACATGACCCAGCAATTCTACTTCTTCTAGATATATACCCAAGCAAGTTGAAAATATAGCCATGCAAAGACCTGTACACCAAAGTTCATAGAAGCATTAATCATAACAGCCAAAAGTGAAAACAACTCAAATGTCCATCAGCTGATGAATGAATAAACAAAATATGAATATTATTCAGCCATAAAAAGGAATAAAGTACTGATATATGCTACAACATGAATGAACCTTTAAAACACTAGGCTAAAAACCACCACCAACAAAAAACTACATCAGGCTAAATGAAATAGGTCAGTCACAAAAGGCCGCATATGGTATGATTCTATTCATGTTAAATATTCAGAATACACAACTCCAGAAACAAAAATCAGCAGATTAGTGCTTGCCAGAGTCTGAGAAAGGGGAGATGGGGAGTGGCTGCTAAGGAGTACAGGGTTTCTTTCTGGGGTGACAAAATGTTCGTAGTATGACAAAATATTCGTAGACAAAAAATGTTCTACGAACATTTGGACTTAATTTGTCATAGGTTAGGCTTATGATCCATTTTTTGTTAATTTTTGCATATGGTG